ACGTCGTCGAATGAGGAAACAGTAGTTCGTCTCGTGTCATCGGCGCGTAAATTGCCCCTGGTGAGCTGTCTTTCCGGCGCATTCTTGTGTGATTTGGTTGAAGCAGACTGGGAACGCTTGGAAGGTGGTGCCTTTAGGTTGTGTTGTCTTTTTCGGAGCTTGAGTTGCCATCCTCCCCAGCACGTCTTTCAAGATCTTCCAGGCGCCTCTTGAGCTTCTTGCCTGCAAGTTTGGAACATTAGTCACGATACGAATCTTATTCGACACGGTTGAAACACGAGTCGACAGCGAGTGAGACATTCGATAGTTGCGTTGCGCGATGCGGTTCTGTATCCGTCGACGCTCGGCAAGGTCAGATATCTTCGTCCAGTCCTCGTCAGGGTTGGCGGAACTGCTGAAAGCACTGCTGGTGCCGTGGCCAGAATATTGCCTTGGCTGCGGGGGGGAGGGCCGCGTAGGCATATTGCGATTGCGACATGGCATACATCGGTTCGAGAGCTGGAGGGTATGTGTCGATATGAGTTAAGATGACGAGGCAACTCGACGATCGCAAGTGGCGCGCAAGGCTAGCGAAGAGGGCCGAGAATGGGACTGAGTCAGGCTGTGGACAGGTAAGGCGAGGAAGCTGACGATGGGCGGGGGGAGGGGGCCGGAAGTGTTAAATAATGGCTGAGGACAAAACGCGTGCCACAAATGTATAAGGCACAAGGGCGACAAGAAGCACCAGGAGCAGCAATAAGCCATCGCTGCGCGCCGAGAAAGGCAAGTTGGCCTGCTTGGGAGCCTGGCATTGCACATGGGCAAAGTACCTGGGCCCTGTCATGCCATGCCTTGCGGAGGGGCGTGAAGGATCGGAGGTGGGGAGGGGGTGTGTTTGTGATACCGTCACGTACCTCGTCTCGACTCCTCCGCTCTGCCCTACGAAGAGATGGGTAGCATGTTGACGGGTCGGGAGGGGTCTTGTGGGTGTGACAGGGGGGTGTGGGAAAGAGAGGCAACTGGATACCACAGCATCGAAAAGGCCTAGGCACTGACGCCAGCACACCCCATGTTGGGTCAGTTCTGCAATCCTTCCTTCCCCAGTCATCGGGGACAGAGTGCCAAATTTACGGAGTGGTCGGCACCGCAGCAACCTCCCAACAGCATGCCTCCCCCACCCACCCTCTCTTGTGGTGATGGAAGTAAGGTAGACACCTCAGGAGGTGGAAGGAGGGCAGGAATGACGGTATGCACAATGATGGGCTGTCACCGCGAAAGCATGCCGACAGGTGCAAGCCAAAGCAGCAGCACTCAAGTGTTGGCCGCTTATCTTGGCTCGAGCCACAGCTCATGCTCACTTTACTGCTGGCCAACACGAACTTCTGATGGGCAGAGTACGAGTAAAGCAGCGACGAGTGGCTCGAAGGACGGAGCAGGGACATAAACCTCGTCGATCTTGAGGTCGGTAAAAATGGGGGCATGGCTGTGCTGATGCTTTCTTCGTTGAGACAGCGATCCCTCGTAGGGCTGGCCAGTCACAACGTAGTATTTGCGAGTAGGCTTCAGAGACCCTGCAAGCCTGGGATATGGCTGCCTGGCAATCAAGGAATGGGGGGGTAAAGGGGAGACGTTGGCCTTGGGGTTAATTATGCGCTTAGTTTGATAGGACCATGATTTAGCCCAAGCTGTGGCTAGGTCGCCCGCAAGTTGATATCTGGGCTGCGCCTGCCTCCTCATCGTCCGATACGCGGATTCCGATGTCAGACTAGGCTGTAACAGGCAACCCTTCCCAAAGAGGCTACTTCGACACCGAGGAGGAGGCCCAAGTACACGCCAGAATCTGTCCACCTGTCTGTGGACATCCCAAGCGCTTGTCACATTTCCCCAGAGAAAGGGGACTCTACTCCTCACAGCGATGGCGGTCGTGGGTGGTTGGGTTCAGACGTCTCAGTCGCCTGAATTGGTGGACAAAGGTGGACTTGCTGATTTTGAAAAAACGCTACGATGCACAATATTTCCGCACGTGGCCGGACGCAATACCCTTCGCCTTTTCTCCGCACATTTCCATCGTTCTTCAGGCAGGTGTCGAGATACCCAGGCGTCGTGCGCGAGTTCACGTTGCGTGCTGGGAACCTCGTAACTCGAGCCAATGCCCAGACGGCAGCAGCTTGATTGATGCCATCACCAATGAGCACGGCCGTCAGTTCGAGTTCATCTACTGTACTCGGTCGTGCCCTACCCACCCTTCCGATTTTTGAGGTCTCCAGCCGGCCGGCCCTTTTCTCGGCTTTTCCCAGAAGTACACCACAGTACAGTGGACTACAGCCTGGGAGACTTGAATGAATGGCGGACATGGAATGCCTAGTAAAGATCCAGTAGGCCGACTGGAGGAGAGGAGTAGGTCGGTCTGTGCGGTGGGCTGCCGCACGAAAACTGTCAAGCTCAAGTGCGAGGCCACCAATGGTGCTGCCTGTTGCGGCTGCCGGCGGGGTGATGAACCATAGTGGCTCAGTCAAGGGTACTGGGGGAGCTTAGAACCAGACACCCTCAGGCAGGCAACACTGGACATGGTCATCAGTCAGGCAGTACGCAAGCTGCCCAGGCAAGCCGTTATGAGCAGGTTGAGCTGTGATCAGCTTGTTGGATCTACAGTGCCGACTAGCATAGAAAGAGACAGGCCAGACTCGGCGAGCAGAAATCACCGGCTTGGATGCAGGCGCGGGCGCGGGCGCGGCGGATGCAATAGTGATGGGCCACGCCCTTGTACTCTCCCTGTCTAGCAATCCAGGAGGCAACATAAGGGGGGGGAGTGCTCAAACAAACGCGCCACGGCTCACGCCAGGCGCAGAAGTGGCGAAGCTTCTTGATCCCTCAAGCCCTTCAAGTCGCTCAGGGCGGAGAAGCAGGCCTGACGCCTCTCCTCTCACTGGCTCCTTACCAATTATCCAGGGAGTTTGGCTGCTCCTTCGGGGTGTCTAACCAAGTGCTTTGTAACATGCCTATTTTTAATTAGCGACGAGGAAGTCGCTGGGGACGAGTCCATTGGATCTCTAGCCGATGGAGCACGGGCCAAGCGGCCGCTCTCATTTTCGACGAGCTGGACGGGCGCTTTTGCTGGCTCCCTACCTTCCTTGCCCAAGACCGAAGAGTACTTTGGAAAGGTTCCTGGGTACCTATGAAAGACGATCAACAAGGTGCCCATGGTTTGCCGGAAGGAATATACCCTGACTGATGACAAGACCAAGTGAATGGCCAACAAGTGTTTCATGGCTCGACCCCTTGTCGCTCCAAGGGCGTGCCTGCCAGCAGAGCCACTAGTGTTTGCTCGTCTGGCAATCACTGTCCGTCGTGAGCACGGCTTCGCCCCGCACGATTGTTCTAATCTCGGGTTTAGCCATCGCTGTCGCGACGACCTCAGTTGGCACAGACGCGGATGATGACAAGTCACCAGATCACAATATCCTACATAGGAGTTGATGGTATGCTGTGGAACCCAGCACACCTCATCTCTCCGGCTTGAAGACAGCTTGGCAACCTCAGCCCTACACGTAAGTGAACAGTGTGATTGAGAGCTATATATACAGTGTACAAGACGGCTTGATCGATCGTTTCCCAATCGTCATTCGCGCCCGTAAATGCATGTTTGGGCTTAACTCCAAAGAGCAACACTGCCGCTTCGGGATTCTAGCACATGAAGTGAACCAGTTTCGCGGGACGACTCCGTTTTCGACCCTTGCGGTGGTTGCCCTTAAGGTTCTGACGCGGCTGAGCCACCCCATGAACAGCAAACATGAGCTCCAGAGTACCGAGGGGCCTCATTCCCAACTTGAGCCGGATGGTCCTCAATAAGGGCTGATGGTAGGCATAAGTACGAATCAACGAATTCTCCCCTGCATTCTCCGGGCCTTACCGGAGTAGGCACATGATCCGATGGAAAGAAAATGACATTGCTGCTGATTGTTCAGCATCTCAGGTGTAGACACTACGACTCTGTGCCCGGAGGTCACAAAAGCCCAGGCACTCGAGTTCAGGCCCTGGTATTGTGTCGGGAGGCGTATCCACAACCAAGATCGGGCTCTTTGATTGCGGCGTGAAAGTCAAAACCTGGGACAGATGTAACAGTGCTACATGTACATCTCAATTGTACCATTTCCCATGACGATCAATGCCATCTAACCCCGACCTCGAAGCTACCTCACCTTGCTACACCAGCCAGCTAGTCAGCTTTTGTGCTCGGTGTGTATGCCTAGAGGAGAATGGCACGCGGGCCGGCAGCAGTTGCAGTCACACTCATCATCGTTGACAAACAGGCTCGGGGCTCGAATAGCTCATCTGTATTGGCACTGTGCACCGTAGGCACGCTACGGCGAAGGATTCCTTTCCATCCGAGCAGCCGTTGCGATCAAACGACCTAGCGGCCGATAGACTGGGATGTGTGGGGTCCCCTCCTGAACAGAGTGAGAGGAGCACAACCACACCCTCAATTAGAACAAGTGTCGCAAGCTACAGCGAAATGGATTGACTAGATTTGCAGCTGGGACGAGCCGTTAGCGAACTCTCGAGGAAGACAAGTTATTCCGTGAGCTGCTGGTTTTGCAGTCCGAGGAACCACGCTACCTTTCCGGCTGGCAGGAGCACGTCAGCTCTTCAACGTTTCTGGGCCTGATTGGCGTTGCTCGAAAATCAAGTGCCATGTGTTTGCCGATTGATAATCATAGTCGGACAGAGGCGAGGGCACGTATCGACGTGACAAGTGTTGGTACACACGGGAAGTGGTTCTGGAGCATAATGTGTCCGACGGACGCCGGACTGGTCCATCAGTTGTGCCGACCTACTTCACGTCATTGGCTTGCCGACTTGGCTGCCTGCTCGATCGTGGGTCTCGGAAACATATGACATAGTCTTGGTACTAGTTCGATGCACTTCAAGGCAATCACGGTGATGGAGCAACAGACGCAGCGACAGGGATCGGCGACGCCGTGCAGCTGATTCGTAAGAAGCCCTGGCACGACGTCCTTTGCGTTCTGGACTGGACTGACGAAAGATTTCAGGGGGCGATGCGATCGAGGAGAAAGGAGGAGAGATAAGTCAATGGGGGCCGTCGGTAGGGCTGAACCTGGTATTGCATCTAAGCGCGTATGCTGGTCGCTCATTGGCGGCCTGTGCGACTGCAGACATCTGTAGGCAGTGTGCATGGGTCGCTGCACTCTCACTGGTAGGCAACGGAGCCTGCTTCCACCGCCATTTTTTGGTGCGGCGCTGGCCGGCTGGGTGATGAAAAGGCGGAGGCAGAGCCCTGCCGAGTGAGCCGAGTGAGTCTTGGGGCATAGCTGGGATAAGAAGGGGGGTGTGAAGGATTCGGGCAGGGAGCTGATGCAGGCTGAGCAGCTGGACAAGAACCCAATCCCGGGTAGGACAAGCGATACCCCAATGTCAACTCTTGCTACAGACACACCTCCGGGCCGCAGCCCCAACCTGCCATTAATTCTCTCATCGTATGTCCCCAGGGCAAGGCTGTGTGCATCGCCTAGAAAGACATGATCGCTCACAGATCCCCAGCAGTATTCCGTTGCAGGCGTATCAGAAATCTAAGGTTGCATGAGTCGGCCTCCGCGACATGTTATCGTTGTCTTCGTACATTCGATTCGTGTAATTTACAAGAGCAGTGATACAACGATGGGCCGTCTCCTAATCACCGTTCGTTCTGCCTCGAGCCTAACACTTCCCGTCCCTTTATTCTCTCCATCACTCGATACGAAGAAAGCCAAGACAACAACCAGGCGGTAATTATCCTCCGACACCTCAACGCCAAAACCGTGGGTATAATGCTTTTACCACGCCATACTCCTCGCCAAGGCAAAACAAGCTACGGCAACAACAAGCTGAATGGTTGTAGAAGTACGCTTCTAAGCCTCCATCCTTTCCCTCACCAGCAAACTTGTCCTGCTTGACAACGTTGGAGAGGGTGAGTTACATCTATGTTGGTGATCCGTAGAGCTAGAGTGCCCTCAGCAGAAGTGGACAGTGCCCACCGTACGCCTTATATACTGTACATGGATTCTAAAGTAAGTCGACTGCATCATAGCCCTACATGATTCGCTGTGTTCGACTCGACAACGTTGTCGGAGAGATTGATAAGTAGCTGGGCTAGACATCTCTTCGTAGCTGCATCGTCACGAAGAACGTTGGAGAACGTGGCATCACGGAGCGGCTCGGGAAGACACTGCCGCAAAGCCTCGCGCGCCCGGGCATTGTCGCTCAATCTAGCGGCGCTGGGTCAGCGGAACACTCTAACGACAGGTGCCTTGAACTTGATTCAACGTACCGAAGGAAGCATCTAACGACATGTTTCAGCAAACGAGCTGTCTGCTGCTCAACTAGCTGAGCGACCATGTTGCTGAGAACGGTGCCGACTGCGTAGAAGCGTTCGTACGTAGCGCAAATGTAATTTAGCCCACTGTCGTCTAACAGGATCTTCTGAACAATGAAGATGGCCACTGTTTTGCTTAGCTCCGAGCCTGTCTCCATGATACGAAGACAGAGAGGGATTATCTCGGTCGTCAGGAGGAAGTTGATGACCTCGGAGGAATCGTTCTTGACGAGAGCCCCGATTACACCGAGCGAGGTCAGGCGGAGGTACTCAAAAGGCCTGGACTTAGATGTAGTGTTAAGGAAAGGATAGAGAAAAAGAGGAATGTGTGCTGTACGTCTATCCATCAGTATATGCCATACTCGCACCTAGGTACCGCCGAGACAAGAATTGCTCACCGCTCAAGAAAAGATTACGAGTATCATTGTGGGAGGCCACACATTGGAGGAGAGCCAAAGCATTGCAAACGCGGTTCGATGCGGCTGCAGTGAGTTGAGAGGGATTCAAGAGGGTGTAGACGGAGATGATCTCCTGAAGCAACGATGTCATGACACCTGTGACGAGTATAGGTCAGGACGCTTGCTCAATTTATCGAATCGACAAGACCTCCAAGACTTACCGAACGAATGCCATAGTATCAAGGCCAGTTCCGGAACCTGCTCCCTCTTCTTGCTGAGCTCGAGCAGAGCCGCCTCACGCGTGCTTTCATTCAATAGATCGGCGATGTATGCCATTGTGCGTCGGTTGTCTTCGGATATGTTTTCGTGCCCCGTATCCTGACCATGTGTACTAGCAAGCGAGGCTACATTGTTGTGAGCACCAGCAAGGCGGTTGTAGTGTTGCTGTTGCGCTGCTGACGCTGCGGCGGCAGCGGTCTGCTGGGCATGTTGGTGATGGCTCGGGGGCTGGTGCATCCAAGAAGCGTCAGCCTGTGGGTTAAATTGGTGGTGACCGTAAACGTGAGGCGTGGGCATCATTTTTGTCACAGTAAGTCTTGCTAACTGGTGATGGGTGGCCGAAGACTGATGTCGGCAATCTTTTAGAAGGCTTTGCGTAGATAGCTGATGGCTGTAATGTTGGCCCGCGTATATAAGTTCAAGTCGCTTCGCAGGCAATGCTGCTAATATTCGGTTGATCCTGCACTCGAAGAAATATCACTGGACCATAGGCCAGAATCTCGTTGCTGATGTCGCGTTACGCGTCTCACGTGTCGTCGGCGAGGGATGTGATGATGGCAGCACCCTTAATCTGGTTGACGGGAATGTGGGCAGCCGCGACCTCAAATAGTCACGTTAGGTGCTGTCGGCAGTTTAAGGCGATATTATCGTTCTCTGGGAGAAGTATGGACTCTGGTGTAATCTTCGGGTCGCAGCGAGAACTATCGACATTAGTCGCAGGCAGACAAGGTTGAATCGTTGGCGAGGCTGCTGGATGGTGGTTGAGGTTCGAGCGGTGGTGGCAGTTGGCGGGCGGAAACCTTAGGCGAAGAGCCTAGGCAATTGTCTCTGACTCTTACGTGACCCTTTGATTGGCTGAAAGTGATATACCCCAAGGTCGGCCCAGAAAACATCAAAGGCCTGAAGTATGGGGGTTCAGTTGTTATTGTATTAACCGAATATCTAATAATAGTGGTCATCAGCTAGACTTCCGGCATAGTGGCTCATCGACTACTGCATAGCCCCGTTGGGCTGCAAGTCCATCGCCAATCTCCCAGGCCCAGGCGTCATGTCAGTCGTTACCCTACTAATCAGGCGAGTCGCACGTAGACGCTACGGGTGACGGAGGCGCCGCCCGCCAGGCGCCACTCGTGAGTGAGTGACCCTTATGGTGGACTTTGGCCGAAGAATGTTTGCTTGTCCGCTTGCTCCCATGAAGATGAGTCAGGTGCGAATATCCTGAACGCACCAAAGCTATCATGATCAGGAGTAACAAAGAGTACGGTGTATAAGATTTTGTACATTGCGGGCCTCAATACAAATTCATCCTGGGTTTTTCTTTTTTTTTCTCTCAATATTTACTGTGCTTAATTTCCGCTCTTTTACGTACTGACGGCAAAACGGCCGCCAAATGCCAGGGTCATAATTGTTAACTATTCGATACATTCACGTGTTTTATACACACTTACATACTTGTGTTTCGACTTCGATAATCCACACACGAAGGGGACGGGAGAAAAAAGGGGTGGCACGAAAATCCAGTTGATCCGGATAGACCTTCCATGATCGATAGACTAGCAGTCATGTCGGGGACCTAAAACATCCAGACTTATTATGTATGCTGCTATGCTGCTATCAACATCGGTACAAAAACGCGCGCTATGGTGGACGATAATAACACGGAAGAAAACGAGGGAACGAATTGACCAGTCCTCACAAGTCCCATACGAAAACTACATCTAACCTTTCCGCCCCCTCCGCCCCGCCCCTCCTCCCCCCATCACCAGCCGTGTCCTGCCAGCAAGCCCGAGACAGGCTAGAGACGGAGCTCTCTCAGTATCTGGTCTGCCATGTTCTTGTATTGCCAGGTATTGCCGACCAGACGCTTAAATTGTATGCCGTGGAGCGACAGAAGGGGGACTTTGACGATGAAGATCTCGAACTCAAGGACCATGTCACCTCCGAGATCACTCTGTACTTGTGTGCTTGTCTCGCCTGGAGCCCGTCTAGAAGAGCTAGGAAGCTCTCTTGACACACTGTCTTCAGAAACGTCAGAGTTTGAATAGCTGTGATCACCGGCTCTGCCAGCAGTCCTGGGTGTTGCCGGCGCATCTCGAGAATCATCGCGCTCTCGATCGGCATTCGCGATCATGCCGCCGAAACTGAATCGCCTTCGATGACCTGGTGTCTGTGCGGCAGGACTACCTGGGGGGTCCTGCACCTTCTTAAGATCAATGCTTGGAGTGTGTCGACAGGCAAAGCCGCCCTTAATCTCAGTATAGTCCACACCAAGTCCCCTCAGGACCCTTCTGATGTCGGTACGGATCTCAGGAACAGACTTGCCCGATGTTGTCGACACGCTGAAAAGACCTTTGAGAAACACTGGCTTGGCAAGGTCAGAGCTGTCCAGCCTCTCAGTAGACACACCACTGTGGTCCCCAGCCTCCTGATCCGTTTCCTCCGGAACATTTGCTTCACGGGCCTCTTCCCTTCGAAGACGACGTTGTTGGATGCTCTCGCGCCTAGCATGGCCCAACGATTTTGCCCTCAGAGATATGGATCGCGATTGCCCGACAAATCTCTGCTCCGACCGCGATTTGTCGTCGGTAGCAGATCTGTCTGATCCACTAGTAGGTGGCGGTTCCTTTGAGCCGCGGCTTGAGTCACGGCGTCGGAGATCAGCCGAGTTGACGCTAGTAGATCTACCCAAGCCTTTGCGTCGGGAGCCGAAATGCCCTCCGGCGGAAGGTGGAGGACTGAGGAGGTCTTTGTGCTGTGGCTGGCTGTCATCAGAGCGGAGACCAGAGTCGCTGGGATCATCATGATCCCTCCGACTCCTTCGTATGCTGAAGCTCTTGCGAGGGGCTGATGGCGCCTCTGAAGGCGAGCGGACTTGAACAACAGGTGGATGCGACCGGTCTTTGTCTAGCCGCTCTGGTTCCCGACGTCTTCGAGTGCTGAACCGTCTCAAAATGCCTGCCGCGGTGCTCTCCTTCTTGGGCGGTCCATCAGAGTAAGGCTCGCTAGGCTGAGCAATGGCTGGCGACAGTTGCGAGCGTGCCAAGGCTTCCGGTGCGTCGTCTTCCCCATGAGTTCGTGCGCGGGGGCGGGACCGTCCACCAGTCGCTCTCTCACCAGGCATTTCGTATGCAGCCGTATTGGTGTGGGCTGCTTGGGGCGGTGTTATTTGCGGCGGGCTGGGGTCTTTTGCAGACTCTTTGTCCTTGCCCTCCTTCTGTTGGAGGGGTGTTTGCGCTGGCTGGCTGACCTGCCCAGGGTGGAGCTCGATACGATCGCGCTCTTGTTTTTCTCGCACCAGGTAGTAGATCGATATCAGTGGGCTAAATGCATTGAGGGGGTCACTGCCTAGCTGAAGGCCCTCAGAGCTTGGGGCAGTGAGCGTGTCCCGACTCGTGCCTGAGTTGCGCCTTTTGTAGAAATCGAAACCGAACCCCCGCCTCTTCTCTACGTCCCTTGTAGGCTGGGGAAGATCCTTCTCTCGCTGGTATGTCCGTACTGCTCGCTGATATTCCTCAGACTCAATGGTCCGGGTGAGCTGAGCCTTGATGTTGTCGGGCGACCCAAAATTGAACCCCGTCATTGCAGTGATGACCTCAGGCTCTAGAGGTAGCGTCAGAGGTTCCCGCAAAGGTAGGTAGTTATCCGGCGGACTTCCATAACCTTTAAGCATCCAGGGATGGCTCATGACTTCAGGCATAGCCGCACGCTGTTTTGGGTCGGTCACAAGCATACGTGACAAAAGGTGCTTACAATCTGCATGGGAAGGTCTGGATCAGCACAACCTTGTGTGGTTATAGTTAGGGCAATTGCGCAGGCTCACCGCTAGATAACCAGTTTGGGTAATCTACAAGTCCTTTCTTGATCTTCGCATGGAGCGCAGGCATGCTCTGGTCGTCGAAGGGGACTTTACCACAAACCAGGACGTAAAGGACGATACCGAAACTCCAGACATCCACCTCGGGACCGGTGTAGGCCCGAGCCTGGAGTAGCTCTGGGGCGGCGAAGTACAGGCTACCACAAAATGTCTTGAGGTGGCCTCTGGGGGCAAATAAGTTGCTCAGGCCGAAGTCGATAATCTTGATGTCACCATTCTTGCTTATCAAAATGTTCTCGATTTTGAGGTCACGGTGGACGATGCTGTTCCGATGGCAATAATCGAGGGCACTGGCGATCTGCCGACTGAACTTGCGTGCTTGCTTTTCTTTGAGCTTGCCATGGGATATGATATAGTCGAGCATCTGGCCACCGTTGACGTACTCGAACAGCATATACCAGTGGTAGTTGGTTCGAACTACGTCACGCATGCCACAGACATGTGGGTGGTTCAGTAGTGTGACAATGGCCGCTTCTCTGGCTGTACGGATCTCTTTCGATTGGTCTGCGCGTTCTTTGTCTGCACGGCTGTGGTGGCCGTCTTCCGTTGATCCACGAGGAATGATCTTGCAAGCTACCTGCATATTTGCCATGATTAGTATCTGTCTTGATTCCTCGTGAACAGAAGGGATAGCGGAGTGCGTTGCGGTGGACGCACCTGTTCAGGACCATCTTCCTTGCGAGCCAACTTGACTTTGCCCATGCTACCGGCCCCGATGGTTTTTACCTAGGATCCATTTGCCTGATGATGTCGGGATGGTCGTTCGACCTCTTCCTTGCTTTGTAGTTGAGGAACTAGGCCCTTTGGAGTCAGAGACAGGCGTGGGGCCACCCGAGTTAGCGACAGTGCTATTGGCAGCCATGTCGTGTTGAATCTGACGTCGATTGTTGGTTATGGATTTGGTGCTACTTCGGCGCTGAGGGCGGGTATGGTCTACTCGAGGGGCAGAAGGCGTCTGTTCGCTGTCTCTGTCTCTATCCTTGTCTCTGGCTGAGCTCCGCTTGGAATATGTGGCTACGTTTGTTGTTTCCCGATCATACTCATGGTGAGCAAGGACGTCTTGAATTGGGCGCGTTGCTGAAGGTTGTCGAGAATGAGATTGTGAGCTGGGATGACGCTGGTGGCGGCTGGTTATTGAAGTCGAAGTCGAAGCAGCTCGTTGCAAAGGCTGCCCGCTTGAAGTAGGGACGACAGGAGGTTGGCGGGACCGAGTGGAGTACGAGCGCGATGCCTGGTGTTGGCTTTTTTGAGGGGGCAGCTGTGCAAAGTGTTCCGCGTTGGTCGTGTGGGATGATTCAAATGTCATGACGGAGAGATTGCGTCGGCAATGCAAGAGAGCGCGATATCAATCAGATCTCGAGGGAGACACCAGACATGCAGTGAAAGAGGGCAACAGAGGCAGAATGGAGAAGGGGTAGACAGGTTGTCGTAACACACTACCTGCCACTGCCTGCTTTACTCGCGCGTGTGGCTGGGGGTACGGGCTGGCAAAGATAGCGCGCCCCACCAAGGTACTGATACCTCTAAAGAAAAAGACACCTCCACATCCTGCCACCCTTTGTGGATGGGTCTAGCGGGATCTTTCCATCAGGTTTAGATTGGAAAGGCACAGGTCCATACTATTGCTATTTACTCCGCAGCGGACTTATGACAAGGATGACGGGAGCATAAACAGAACTAAGATTCTCGTCGGGTCAAATTCGAATAATGAGCCTGGAAGATGCCATCTATAAGCCAGGCCTACCCATTCACCTTGGTTGCTGCACAGCTAGGAGCCTGCTGTACGCTAAAACAACACACACCAAAGATATCATTAAACACCTCGATTGGAGAGGGAAGCCGCGATGGTTTTTTTTCTTCCAGGGATTTCGCCGGCTCCTGTTGTGTCTTTAGAAACTGCGCCGCGTTCAGACGCTGGCAATTTACAAAGAACACAACTTCCCTCGCTCAACACACTCGAGACTTGGCTTCAGAGGGAGAGAGGGGAAAGGGGGCAGACAGGTTGGGAAATTGCGATGCCGAATAGGTGGCTTATGTAACATTGGGCCAACCCCCTGGCTTGCTTGGCAAGAACCAGAAACTCCAGGTCAGAGTAATAAGGATGCCAAACGTTCATACGGCTAGTGTAGCATCTGTTTTCCATGATCCTGTACCACCTTTACACCTTGGGTACTACAGTCACGGGATAATTACATACCCAGGCAGTGGGTGCTGCTGACGGAGTTCAGGTATCCATCGAGTGCCTTGCCTGTGCCTAGTTCTGAAGGCCTACATGTACTTTAGAGAGGTGCTGACTAGACCCATTCAAGGTAGCCCCATCCACCACCATCGAGCAGCCCCCTACCGTATGCTTATCGATAAACTAGTTACCTCCAAGCCTTCAGCCTCATTGATTCGTATCGAGCGCAACACTAGGCACATCGGTCTCCGAGCTGCGTACTCTCGGCATTTTCATCGTTTGCAACGAACCCAACACACAGCGGGCTTCCGTTTTCTCCATGTCACACAAAAGATCTCGCACGACATACGAAGCAGACCTTCCTGCCGAGGGTTCTCTCTCCGTTCTAATTGGCACGCGTCTACCTCCACCTAACGACTATTCACCCGACAATGGCTCGTATACTCCTCTTCATAAACAGGAGGTGAGAGATGAGCAAGGCCGACGGCGACTCCACGGCGCATTCACCGGAGGCTGGAGTGCAGGATACTACAATACAGTCGGATCTAAGGAGGGATGGACCCCTGGAACATTTGTCTCGAGTCGAAATGCTCGCCACAAAGATATTGCTGGGGCCCAGCCACAACGACCGGAGGACTACATGGACGATGAGGACCGTGAAGCAGCCCTAGAAGACGAGAAAATACAATTGTCCGAAGCGTTCACTGCCGGCGCAGCGGGGGAAAACACAAGAGCTTTTGGCAGAGGACTGTCGGATCTAATATCTCATGGGGACGCTTCATTAGGCCTCGGCTTGCTGATGAAGATGGGGTGGAGGGAAGGCCAAGGCATCGGACCTAAGGTGCGTCGCCCAGCACGACTGCACGATACCGAAGCCGTCAGTACGCACGTGCCAGAATCGCACCTGTTTGCACCTGATGACGTTGCCGTCGTGAGTGTCATCCGTAAGATCGACCACCACGGCCTCGGATATTCAGCCATGTGCGCTCACGACACGCACGAGCCCGCCGGCTTTACTCGCCGAACAAGTGAGGAAGATGTGCTCAACACCGACGGTTTTGGGATGAAGGAGACAAGCCGCTCCCTGATGGGTGGCAGGTCTAAGGACACAAAAGGCCATGGTGGTGGCATGGGGTTCGGCATCCTCAATGATAACGGTTCTGATGATGACGATGGGTACCAGATGGCACCTAGGATTTCTCGAATTAGGACTCTGACGGGCTCGAAGAAGAGGAAGAAGAAGAAGTTGCCGTCAGGTACAGTCTTGGCAAACCCGGCCCTTGGCTCTAAGCCAGCATTCAAGTCACAACCGATAATACTCAAGCAAAGGGATGGCCGACTTTGCCGAGATGGTTCATCACCACTCCCAGGGTTTGTGCTGGGTGACATAACAGTTTCTTCCGAATCCTCTGGTTCTTCCGGTACAGTCTCTGATCCCCCAAATGTTCCCCAAGGATGGAGATCATCTAAGCACCAGTCAAGTGAGGCAGGTGAGGCTCCAGCTGGCATGCTTAACGTACTTTCAAGTGCAGGGAACTCAACTGTCCACGACCCCCGGTCTCGTGCGCTTGCTCTAGGGGAGGTTCCGTTACCAGGGAAGTCGATATTCGATTTCCTGTCTACCGCAGCCCGCGAGCGCCTTGTGGCAGCCTCGGGTCGGACGAATCTACCACCCGCTGGTGGCGAAACCGTACTGGCTCAAAGCAGCAAGGACTGTCACGAAGACTCTAACACGCGTCAGAGGCTTCCAGTGTTAGATAAGGAGACGGCCGTCATCGCCATCGAAAGGGGCAAAGGTGCTCGGGGCCCATATGCGGATGACGAAGAAAAACAGTCACGATACAGAGCTTACCTAGCACATTCTGCGGGCTTGATCTCTGATCATCCAGCGAAGCCTAACTCGCTGGGCTGGAGAGAGTTCGCCCAAGAGCAACAGGAGTTCTACGGATGTGCCCAATTATTCAGACCCATGACAGGCATCATGGCAACACGATTTACAACATCTACTCTGAACCATGTGTCGTCCGATCCCAAGAATACGGTCGAATCTAGCAGACGGTCACCGGTGCCCAACGAATCTCAACCGCTGGATGGTGCAGAACAAGCAGCTCGGTTGGGGCTCTATGGGCAGTTGACAAGATCGGGGCAGGATTTCTTCCCTACCAGACTTCTTTGCAAAAGGTTCAACGTGCCATTTCGAGACCCCAGTCTTGTTGGTCTCGAACCGTTCCAGGCTCGATCTACTGTCACCCTGTCATCTCTAAACATAGGGCATTTTCTAGATGATCGCAAAGAGGAACCACTGAGCAATGAGGACATTGGCAGCCTCTTATCAACGAGACCTTCTGAACCTATCGGCAGCTATGGGTCTTTACTTCAGGAACCCAGGACCGCGGCAGGCCTGAACAGCGATGGTACGACGCAGAAGAAACCGGACGAAGACGTTTTCAAAGCCATATTTGGCGACGACAGTGATTGTGACTAAACAGGACTTGAAGGTTTGGCAATAATAGAAAATTACATACGTCTATGTGAATTCACGAGTGATACGATTCCCGCCTCCGTGACGCTTGAGGTCGCAATTCTGTGTCTGGAATAGCTTCACGGCACTGCGACAGCTTATTAGTGTTTGTCTGTCTTCGTAGCAAACTGGGACATCAGAAGTCAGGGACTGGTGGGGTAGACAGGGGGGTTAAATGAGGAGGCACGTTAGGCGGTATTATTTAGCCGCCGGCCGGGGTTGGGCGGTGAATGTCGGCCACTTGTGGACGCCTAGTCTATTACGGTTGTTGCCCATCCACCTTAGTGCCTGCAACAAAGACGCTAACTGTGCCGAAGTACGCCTGCTCTCTCTCGTGTCCTCCCATCCGCTATCGTCAAGAATCCGCCTTCCAACCTCGCCCATCAATCACTCGGCTTTCCTGTCGGAAACACATAAACACTGGCTCGACGCCCCAGAACTATCCACTCTGATCGTCGACATCGTTCTAGTATGTGCGACCACCCACACCCCTAAACCGGAATGACACGCAACTTGACCACCAGCTAACTCTATGGCAGCTGATTCGGCGCAAAGGAGTCGTCGGCTCTCGACACAAGAAGTGCTCCCATCCGTTCAAGCTGAAATCGTTCTGCAATCCCGCTACACATAGTCAACGTTTTATCTGGCTGCTAATACCCCTCCTGACAACGTTTCTCGAAGCCCCAGATATACAGAGTGGACGGCCCCTCTCTCTCCATCCAAGCATCACAATCGAGCCCATCGAAGATCTGGATTCTTTCAAGTCGCAACCAGTCAACCGGACAAGCTCCTCGCCTCCCCAGTATCGGGTGCCTGTGGCGTCTTCCTCCTCCTCCAGGCCGCCCCTTTTTTCGCCCATTTACGCCTGTCGTGAAACCGACAACTTACGGACGAACACTGTAGACTTCTCGAGTCATCCTACAGAAACATTTCTCGCTGAAGTTTTCTCAACAGCTCCGGCCTACGTGTCTACAGGGTTGCATTCGACAGACCATCAAATCGACCGGCTCTCCCACGAAGCACCTGCAGAGACAACCAAGCGAGCGCTTCATTCACCTGATACACCACGGGACGTCTGCTCGAAGTACGACGAAAACGAACCGCCACCCGCTTACTCGGAGGGACCCAGTCCCCTCTCGTCTTTCACGTTCGTGATGGCGACTGCCGGGGGTGCATCGAGTATTATTACACAGGTGCAGCAGGGCGGACCGCCCGTCAACGCTATTGGAGGTGAGCTTTGAACAGATCAGCCGTAACCGTCTATAATGTTACTAATCCATTCAAGATGTTGGTGCGGACGAGGCTATCACGATGGATCTCCGGTAACGCTTTCTTTTCTCCCGTTGCGCGCCATCGACCCGTGACTGATCAATCAATTAGAGGCACAAGATTCGTATTATCGCGAGATGAGCTTCTGACTTTGCCAGAGTTTGTTCTACTATCCTTGTTCCCCAATGGACTGTTCCCAGAAGGGCAAATGGGTGGGTTTACAGATGGAGATGCTGTCCAGGTTGATGTACGTGTAGCCTACCCGACTGGGGCACGACTTATCTAAGCTTGCCACTTAAGTATGCACGACTGTAAAGAGCTGACATAATGACTTAGTATGATCCTGTATCGCTGCAGTACATGCTGGACTTCTTTCGCAACGTGGCCCAATCAATTCCCATGGAATCGTCGCCCAATGCTTCGCAGGATGGCGACGCCGTGCCTCTTGAGCCATTGGGATCCCGAGACGACGCTTCTCGGCGGGCTGGAATCATAGTCTTGCGAGAAGACCTCGACTTCTATGTCATTCCTCCTCGTCCGGATGTCGGGCAACTTGAGATGATCGAGATCAAAAGAGCCGCTGCCAAGGCGTTACTGAGTCAAGGGGGTATCTTCTCTGGGCTGAAGCGGAGTGATGAGCCGGGTACGACCGAGGCACACCTTATTGAGATGCTGACAGCTGGGTACGTTCACCACGCGACGGCTTGTTGCATGATTCTTGCTGACAGGAGATCAGCGGGTTTAACCATGATGATTCATGGGGTCACCGGGCGGGAGAGCCCAACAAGGCGGTGGTGTGCAGCCTTGCTCTGGCACGCCTGCGTAGCGATATCAGAGGTAGTGAGATGGGCAGCAACGCGGTTGGTATGGCTCAGAAACTTCTCCTCTTCTGGCGGAAACCTGCTAGGAGGTGCTGGTGGGAAGGTGTTGAGCTTGAGGATGTTGAGGGTGTCGAGGGAAAGCTCAAGGTGTGGATCAGGCGTGTCTGGACCCTTGAAATGAGTGTTATTGGCCTTCGTTGAACCACGATAGACGGGGACTGCCAATCGTAGTCCGTCTCAGTTCTTTTTTGTTGGACGGGGACTGCCAATCGTAGTCGGACAGGTGAGAGAGGGCGCCGATAAGCTTCTGTGGACAGGTGAGAGAGGGCGGTGGGAGGTTTCGGTATGGACGAGGAAAGACGATCGTCGATAATGTATCTACCAAATTGTCCGTGGCTGTATTGCACCCTGCTGCACTACAATGCCGTGTGGGGTAAGGGCGCAAGCGGCGTCTACGAGCACCATGATTGCTATTCTTGAATCATCACGTCCTGATAATTGGCTTGTTTCTCGGCGTGACAGGCCTGTGGGTAAGCACACACTGTCGGCTGTAGGGGAATTGGCATGCACATAGGAGACCGACCATGCCGCCATGTGCTCTCTTGGTGTGTGTGCGAATGGTTGGTGAACCAGGGCTCGAGTTGGTATGAGGCAAGACCAAGCAGCAAAGGTGGGTTCTGCATTCGGACTAGGGTCTGGTGGCTGGTAGAGCATCCTCGAGGTAGAGCAATATCTTGTGATGACGAGATGACGATTACAGTCACCCACTTCAAGTATTACTCAGATACATAGTAATTGTCCCTGGGTTTTCCGTTTGCACCACTGGATCCTTCTGGGTCACACATTTAACATTTATCGACCCCCGATAAGCTCACAGGATTTCCCTCTGCTAGAATGAGACTCGCTTTGCTGCCTGTTTACCTTGCTGTCGAAACTTTTGTGTCACAGGCAGTGTACGCCCGGAGCTGCAGCAATGGTCTTGCAACCGCGCGGAGTCAGCCCGTCGTTGCGGATGGCTGGTCCTTTGGCCTCGTGGGCAGCGAGCTGTTCAGGCCGCGAAGCATCTTGTTCGAGAGCAACGGCGCACTTCTCATCGTTGACTCTGGCGATGGTATCAAACGGCTACTACTCGAGGACGAGGGTGGCACATGCATATATGTAAAGAACGGGAGCGTGATCGTGGAGTCTCCTGAGATCAGTCAAGTCAAACCTTGTGGCACTTTGCTCGATTGACATGCGCGTGGCCGTTGTCCAGCTCAACCACGGCAACGCATTGTCCAACGATGGACGTACACTACATGCCTCGACACCAGACAAGGTATTTGCATGGATCTACGATGCCACTAATGGCAAAGTTAGCGTAGACAACAAGACTGTAACTAAGGACATGTACAATGCTGGACATACCTCTCGAACACTTCTCATGTCCGACAAGGCCCCAGGCTTGCTCGTCGTGTCGCGGGGATCTGAAGGCAATGTGGATTCCATGGCTCTCAGTCGGGCATCTGGTCACTCGCAGCTTCGTGTTTTCAATGTCACTAGCATTGCTACTGACGGGGAAGCTTTCAGTTTCTCCCGCGACGGAAAATTATTAGGATGGGGACTTCGCAACTCAGTTGGCGTAGTCGAGCATCCTAACGATGGGGGAATTTGGTCGGTGGAGAACTCCGTGGACAACCTGGAGCGTGATGGTGTTGATATACACTCCAGCAACCCTGGAGAGGAGCTAAATTTTCACGGCTTCCTCAGTGGCTCGACTTGTGGTCAAGAGGCCAACTACGGTTACCCCAGATGTCTAGCCCTCTGGTCGACGGATGGCTTCCCAAGGCTTGGTAACATGAGTACCAGAGACCAATTTGAAGTCTCCAACGACCGCGCAGGTGATACATCAGGTTGCAGTACTCAGTACACGGCACCAAGACTGACCTTCCAGGCACACTCGGCACCTCTCGACATCGTGTTCACGCCAGATGGATTGGAGGCTTTTGTCACATTTCACGGCAGCTGTATGGCCGAAGAAAATGGCATGACTGAATGGTCTGCTAACCTACCTATTAGGGAACCGCGAAAAAGCGGTCGGCTACGCTGTTTCTAGTATTGCTTTCGACCCGTCGGTCTGGCCTGGGACAGAATGGACAGATTATTTATGACATCTGACTCAACAGGCGAAATATTTGTGCTAGAACGAACCGTGGGATCGACAACAGAGGATGTCCCCAGTCATACTGCACGCCCATCGTTGGCAATAATACCGGCCTTTGACTGGTCATTCCTGTTGGTAGGGGTATTTTTGATGACTCTACGAAATACATCAAGGAACAGGGCGAGATGACCTGGCCTCTCTTGCCACCTAAACGCCTCCTCTCCCAGGTTCGCAGAAAAGGCGGCTGTCATCCGGAACCACACAGGTCTGGATCACGTACTGGCATACAATAAACCCTATTACTTTCGTCACCGCAATACTATCTGCCTTGGCGAAGTGATGCAGGTCAAATCGAGCGTGTAGCTATACCTTGCTCTATTTCCTAAGCTACTCTTCAATGCTCTTCACGCATTCCCACTCGCCCCTCAGATTCTCCTTCCAAAGGGTCACCTTGTTATCGCCTCCGCTCACTGCCAAAACATTTCCGCTCAGCGACCAGCTCACTCGCCACACAGCTGAGTCGAAGCTGAGAACTTTGCAGGCCCACTGGCCTTGGGCAGAGGAGTCGGACGTCCAGATACGGACTGTTTTATCCTGCGAAGCTGATGCAATGTATGACTTTTGGAGCACAGTCGGAGACCAGGCAACGTCGCGCACCCAGTCCGTGTGGCCCTGCAGAGCATCGCCCTCCGGCTTGTATGCCTGGGATGTCGAGTCGAAGGACCAAATCTTGACGAGGTTGTCGCAACCTCCAGTGGCAAATCGTCGAGCGCCCGTCGACCCGGGTCCGGGAGAACTGCCTACAATGCTCCCCGGTGCCGTAGCTGGGGCCCACGAGACAGAGTTGACGCCAAGCCCATGTGCCTGAAAGGTGATATGGTCGTAATTGTTGTCTCTGAACTCGAGAACGCTGACGTTGCCATCCGACGAGGCGCATGCCAGCAGGCAGCCCGACTCGTGTGGTGACCAGGATACAATGTTCACCGACGCCTTGTGCAAGGCAAAATCGAATATCTTCTGCCAACCCGCCTGTTCCCTCCATACCAGCACCTTGCCATCATATCCTGCCGACGCTAGAATGTTGCCGTACTTAGGATGCGCCCATGCGACGCACCATACTGCTCCCTCGTGTCTGCGGCATCCATTGTTAGCACGAGATACGTAGCTCCCGACTGTTGTCTATTCCATGGGTGGAAGTGGGATGTTAACACACCCCTTAAGCGTTTCAACGAGACGTTGAGTTTCGCCCTCGAGCTCAAAGATCTTGATTGTACGATCGCTGGAACAGGTTGCGAGCCGGCGCCCGTAGTAGTCGAGAACAGCATCATGCTTGAAGTTAAAGCCCAGATTAGTTCAAGCAAACTGGGCCGTGCAACGACCCTCCAAACCTCTCACAGGTATTAGACCGCAAGGTCAACTTACAATCATGTCGTCGTGACCCGAGTTTGCGATGGTATGACTGGTAGCCTGGACCTCCCCTGTCAGCTGCTGCTTATGCTGGTAACAGGTCTATTCCAAGTTCTAATTCACCATGATTAAGGAAGGCGCGAACTTGGCGTCCCGTGTGCGTGCCACTTAGGGGCTCGGAGTTATTGATACACTGCCGATATGAGTTACAACGCTGATATGGTAGACGCCCTCGGGTTGAAAACTGGTGGGTGCGGAATGCGAAAGCTTGAAAACTTGACTGACGAACAGACAGCTATCCAAAGCGGCCAGCATGTTCGAAGGAGATTGGCAGCAAGGGAGGCCTTAGAGCCTACCTTACCGTCTGTTTCCAACGCCTGTGCACTACGGTGTATGGGAAGCGCCACACAGCTATTCTATTCATTGAATTGTCTTACTCCAGTCTTACCAACGGGGACTACCCCCGCCAAAATAGAGACCCCACATTTCGTGTCTCTTGAAGTCGGACCTAAGCGGAGCCACCAAAGCGGCGTCACCATTTGCCGAGGCAGACGTTCATCACGAGATAGACGTCACGGCAAATGTAGGGTAGTCGATTTTACAAGGCCCCAACATAGACCAGAAATAAGCACGCATTTGTACGAGCCGTCGCCTAAACAACACATGCACGGCTGACTTATTTTCGACGTGCAGAAATTCAGCAATTCCACCTTCATTTGTCACACAGCCTTGTTGACACAAGACTTGCAACCTGACATTGGTATCATTGCCGACCTTGTTGAAAAGGCTACATCATCAAACTTCACTGCGGTTGATCTTACTGCAAGGTAGGAATATAACCAGTCATCTATACTTCACGTTTCTTTTCAAATCCGATGGCAGACAATGTCTGTGGCGGATCGACCCCGCTCAAGGCGCTTGCGGAGCAAGGTGCTCGTGATCGAAGCCTGCAACAAGATCGCGCGCGTCGCGCTGTTCCTAGCCCCTCCGTAGGTCACTTCTTTGGGTGCGCTTCGTCATACACAACTAACATGTTTGGGACAGAACTTCCGATCCAACCAGCTAGGCATGTCGCGGGACCCAAGTCAGTCGTATAGCACATACCTCGGCAACCCCAATCAACAACTTTCAGCGCCGCATACAGCAGAATATAGCGGACATCATGTTGCAGTGCATCCCAATGCTTTCGGAACTCGACCCCAAGAAACTGTTCACTCGTCCCAGCCTCCTCAAACAACCAATTGGGCGCAGGACTTTGACAATTTCAGGCGGGAAATGGTTGTTCCTTCTCAAAGTAGCATGACAACACCTCCTTCGATTCAACATATTCAACATCATCAACATAGGCAAAACTTCTCCCCTGTGCTATCAAACCAAGCGGTTATCGCCCGACAGACACCAGTTTCGATGTCTGGGATGATGCCCTTGAGTGTTTATCGCAACCAACATACACCTTTGGAAAAAGGTCGAGATACCGAGTTCGACACGGCAATGCGACACTGGGTCACTTCGAATGGTGACCTTGGTGCTGGGGTTGAGGAACAAGTCGACGCAGTGATGGACAAGCTCGCGCGTGAGCTGGAAGATATCGAATGTGCAGAAGGTCAAAGGCAGTCACATCAGGCGCGATCAGCAAATGGTCAGGATGATTTGCTTGTCGGAATATCACACCGCGATGCACTGGTAAACAATGCCGTCCTTGGCAGTTTGGGCCCCGAACTTGACGTTGCCAGCCTCCATGTAGCGGATGACACGCAGAATATGAATTCGATGGAAGAGGTCAGCCACCACGACCGGGCTGCTGAAACACCCGATGCTTTACCAATCAGGTCGGATGTCTCGGAAGCAGCACGGCAGCTACTACAGACTGTCCAACATGAACAAGGTGACAAGTGGAAGCAATCGCAGTTTTTACTACTGATGAAGGACTTCCGCGATGGACAAAAGGACATCATCGATAATGAGATCCGGCAGGCAGATACATAGAAATGATTCCCGGTCCATGACCATAATTAGGCCCGTAAACGTTCCAATCTGTTGCGTGGACGATCACTTATCCCCTGGAGACTCTTGTACTTGGCATGCTACTTAGTTTCTGCCAGTCTCTGCCATCTGTCGCATAAAATCTTGGAGCTACGTTTCAAACCAGTCAAGAGCCCTTTGCCTTAGCTTGGCGGCATTGCCAGCCTAGATCCTCTCGCCAGGAGTGCCGTGCCAAACGCAACGTTTGTATTCGTGGCCAAAGAAAACCCGAGAAAGAAGGCAGCGGAGACGGATAGTCGCAGCGTTGCGTTACCATACCTAATTCCTCCATATATGGCCTCATAAGAGAACCACGGCCTGCCTTGAATGCTCTGATATACATCTAAGCTGTTACTAGCTCAGTACATGATAGAGGGCGGGCACGTCTGCGAAACATAGGTAACATGTATGTGTGTGTCCAGATGTATAGTTCGCTATATCATTGAATTCAATGAGTGATATGTATTTTCGGCTATCGATCATACGAAGTGCTGAGGTGAAATTTGGACACTACAGTGGTGCTGACTAACTGCACAATCTTAGACCTTGGTTCCAGCAAGGCGCAGTGCAGCACACTAAGGTGGTCGACAAAAAGAAAGAAGGAAAAAAGGCCTACCAATTGAGGGAGCACCCTGGTTTACCAGTCCCATGCCTCGCTACCAGGCAGTAAGCCTACTGTAGAGCCTTTGGTGGGCCATTCTTTCTGTCGAGTGTTTGAGCATACCCAATCCACTTTCGTACACAGGGGACTGATTTCGCGCTAGCAACTGTGAGTCACACCTAGCACTGCTAAGATTGGACAGCTTTGGGCTGGCGTACACATACTGCGGAGAAGGGTGGGTCTGTCAAGCAGTACAGATATGATCGAAAAGCACAGTACTCGTCCGAACACGTAAGGCGCAAAGGTACTTGTTCGACAACTCGAAAATGTAAACTTTAACAGCCCTGGTCGATGGGTGGGTAGTCAAGACCCACTTAAGTCTGCGCCCTTCGGACGAGGCCTGCCCGCCCTCTCCACTGTCACAGTCTCTCTGCTGCCTGGGGAAAATTACAAAAACTGCCGCAGCCCACTCGGCCCTCCAAAAATGGTTCCTCTGCCTCAGCACAATCACATCACACAACTCACAGAAAAATATATCAGAATAAACACCATCACCATGCGGTAAAC